TGATTTTATTTTTGGCCTTTGAGGACCTGCTCGTTGAAATTTCTAATTTCCATGGAAACCAACGGGTAGTGTAGAAAAGAATAAAGGTTAAATCTCCTTTTTGGTCTCTCAACTATTGTACGGACTCTCGATTAAGTCCCTCAACTAAAAAAATCCCTGATTTGGTCCATATTGTTTACCATTTTTACCCTAATTTGGTCATTCCGTTAAAAATCTCTCCACGTGTACTGTTAATTCACGGTAAGATGATGACATGTCAAAATTTTAACCCACGTGAAAGACAACATGGCAAAAACTAGTGGCATGGCAATAAAAATTTTAAAAGTTCTTTCTCCTTCCTCTTCCTTTCCTGAACCCAAGTGATGGGTTCCTTTGAACCCAGCTGGGCGTTCCTCGTTCCCTTTCTCTTTCCTCTTCCTTTCCTTCTTCATCAATCAATTCTTCATCATCATCATCAAACAACATCCACAAAAACACAGAAATTATTTATTTATTTTTTTGTTGAAGAACCCTAGAGCTTGGGATCGTCAAATCTAGGCAATCTAGGTTCGATTGAACCTAGGCGGTGGGGTTTGAAGGAATTCAGCTGGATTCCAAGGAACCCAAACCTGGGTTCGACAAACCCAAGCGATGGGTTCCTTCGAATCCAACTGGACGTTCCTTGTTCCCTTTCTCCTTCCTTTTCCTTTCCTTCGTCATCAAACAATTCATCATTATCATCATCAAATAACACCCACAAAAACACATAAATTATTATTTTTTTTTTTTGTTGATGAGTCCAATGCCTGGGTTCGATCGAACCCAGCACCGAGTTTGAAGGAACCCAGAGCTTGGGATCGTCGAACCCAGGCAGTGGGTTCGAAGGAACCCAGGCAGTGGGTTCGAAGGAACCCAGCTGGATTCCAACAAACCCAAGCCTGGGTTCGAAGACCCAGCTAGATTCCAAGGAACCCAGCTTCCACCGCTGGATTCTAAGGAACCCAACAGCAGTTGCTGGGTTCGATGGGTTCTAAGGGGGGAAGGGTAAAGAGAAAGGAAAAGAGAAGGGGAAAGAGAAGGAAAAAGAAAAAAAGAAAGAATTTTTTTAAGTTTTATTTTTCATATTATTATTATTATTGCCACATATATAATATTTTGCCACATCATCTAATAACAGTGAATTAACATCACATGTAATAGATTTTTAACGGAAGGACTAAATTGGGGTAAAAATGGTAAACAGTAAGGATCAAATCAGGGATTTTTTTAGTTCAGGAACCAAATCGGGGGTCCATACAAAAGTTGAGGAACCAAAATGGGGTTTTAATCAAGAATAAAACCTTAGGAGAAATATGTGACAAAGCAAAATT